CGCCGGGAGGTTACCGGGCTGGGAGCTGGAGAGTCGCCTCCCTCCGACACGCGTGTCCGAGCGGAGCCGTGAGCAGCCCGAGGGGTCCCGGGACCCCCGGGGGCTGGACCCCTGGAGCTCGGCTCCAGCCTGCGGACACCCGCCCTGGCCACCGCTCCTCCCGCAACCGCTCCTCCAGCAGCTCCCCCTTTTCCTGGAGCAGCGCTCCCCCCGGCAACGCCACAGCCGAGCGCGTGCGAGCCTCCCGCGAAACCCTGGCGATGTTGCCTTGGCTTCTCTAAGCTCTTCGGGCTGAGCCCCCACCTGCGGAGGTTCCTCTTAAACTTTTAAGGAGTTTGAAATCCTAGCGCAGCTGACAAGCGGCGTTCCTCACCACCAACAATGCTTTTTCCCAAGACAGTTTACCTAGGGCTGAGCTAATCAGTTTTCTTCAAACACAGCTGGAGGAGTCAGATAAGGACAGAGCCTATCGAGCTAGTTCATCCTGAAGAGTCACTTGCGTCTGAACTGAAACACTGAGTAGTAATGGCACAAACGATGCTTTTCAGGGGTCTCGCTGTCCGTCACCCTTCACCGGACCCTTGGCCCTGTAGTGTCGGGGTGCGCCTCCCCGGGGGCGAGTGGCTCGGAGCTGGGGAAACTTGTCTTGCATAAGGGGGGAAGCTGAGGTACCCAAAAATGGGCGTCTCCGCATCTTCAGGGGGCATATCAAGCTGCATGCTGCGGACGGTGACCCTAGCAATGAGCAGGCAGAGCCTGGCAGTCCTGTTGCCTGGAGGGGTACCGGGGTATTGCTGGCCTGGGAGCCAGCTGGGAAAATGCTGATGGATCTGTGGGAGAGAGAGAAACCTGATGCAGCTGCATCTGCTCACGTAGCATCGGGTTTGCTGCTTTGTAGGTTTGCATTGATGGTTTCCGTGTTGGTGCCTTTCTGGAAGAGCCAGGTGTGAAGCAGAGACTCCTGGAGTCCCTTGTCCTGATGGCAGCAGCATCCTTGTGTAGGTGCTGTAAGGCTGCTCCAAGGTGCTGAAGCAACAGGCTTGGCTGTGCCACGAGCCAGGCAGTGGGAGAGCAGGCTCAGTCCGGAGCCGGGAACATCCTAGGTGACAGTAGAGTTTTGTACAGAGGTAGCCTGGCCAGGAACATGGAGTACTTTAACCAGGTGAAGTTGCTGTTGTGACTGTGTGGAGCAAGGCAACGTGTTCCCATCTTGTGGTGTGGATCACGACCTGCAAGAGCTGTAGCATGTCACAGCATCTCTGTGACTGCTGGGAGCTGCTGGGGAAGGGGCCGGAGCTGGAAGCCTGCCCCATGTTGCCTGCAGGTGTGGGAAGGAGCAGAGTGACCCACTGATGAATAACTACTTCGGTTCAGTGCTCAAGCCAAGAGCTGAGTGCCTTCTGTCTGCTTAAAAATAGAATACCTTAAGGGAGTACAAAGTGCGTAACTGCTTAGAGGTTTACTTTGGAAAATGCCAAATTCCTGAAGTGTTTTGTGGTGAAAACAAGCAGTTGTTCGGGTTGCTCTTTGTGGGGAGAGAATGAGAGGTACCAGGGATTCCCCAAAGGAGAGACTGCTCTGATGTGCCGCTAGCAAAACCCAGATTTATCCCTGAAACTGGCACGAAATGCTGGGTGCTCTGGGCTTTTGTAGGCCTAACCCTGAAGGCACCAACACTGGAGCTCCTCAGATGGTTTAGATGTCGAATGTTGGCTATAATGCCATCAGGAATTTCCTGACCGTTGCTGTAAAAGGAGAAGGGAGGGATCCAGTCACAATGGTTGAGAAATGGTTGAGTGTGTCTCTTAAACACTGAGGTCAGTCAATGTTTTCTAGAAAGAAAAATGCCACTGCAGTAGGGTTTCTTGCTGAGGTGATACTCCTACCCTCTGGAAAGGGAAAAAAACCCCAAACCCTCAACCAAATCCAAGTTCCTTGATATTATTTTCCAAGACTCAGCCAACAGACAGGAGTGAGCTGCCTAAACTGACACTCCCTGGATGCGTTATGAAAAAACAGCAGTATGATGCATGTGTGCTGGGAAGCTCAACAAGTGGGAATAATCAAGGGGTTGTTCTGAAGATATTTTCTATCGCTAGCGCCTTGGTGTCCTTCAGTATATCTGCTCACGTGAGTTGTAAGGAATGCTGCCGTTAATTTCAACGACACGGGCATCTGCATGTGCCCTGAAGTTGGTGTGTTAGCGCTTTCAGCGTGTTACTTGGTTTCTAGGAAGCTGTATTCTTGAATTACCTGCACAATACTCCTTCTGTCCCTGTTGTGAGAAGGTAGCTGTGCTCTGCAGTGAAGGAAATAATCAGATTAACTTGTTTTAATAATTTTTGAAAGCGACTTTATTCAGTATCATGCCAAACACTGTAGCATTGCTGTCAGCTGTTTTCATCTGCTGTGAACTATGGACTAAATAATGATCTTGGCAAATGTATTTTTCTTATAGATATCTGTTATGGGCACGCTGCATTTGCAGAGATTTCAAAGTTCAAGTCTTGTACTTGGTCTTATCTTAATGATAATGAAGGCACTCATGTGGTTTCATAGGAAATGCTGACATACCCACTATGTGGGCACAGGGCCTTTATCTGAAACATGTAAGCTCAGCCCTCGAGCCTGTCCCCTGCAAGCCCCGCAGGACACTGCTTGGAGGGCTGCCAGGGTAAGCAAGCCTGCTGTGAGCAGCTGGAAGCTACTTCAGGGCTGCAAGCAGCTGTCTGCTCTTGCCGACCTCAGTGGGACCCCTCCTGTGCTTCCAAGGCTTCCTAGGTTAATCTCCACGCTATGGGAATGCCTGTTAATATGGATCACTCCGTTGGGCCATGTGTTCAGCCCTCCTTAAGTCCGAGCTATGGGAAGCTCATTCCTTTTCAGGACTTGGCATCTAGCCTGGGCAGGGTATCTTCAGTCTATTCCTTACTCATTAGGGTAACATTCCTGAGGGTGAACTAAAACAGGATTCATCTTCTGTGGGTGATAGGGTGGTCTGCCACCACCTCGAATGCTGTGTGGTGAGCAGTCATGGCAGGGTGGGATGCTTTGTCTCATCAGTCCATTTCGTTTTTCCCTGGGGGTGTATGTGAGTCTAGGCATAGTCTGAAAAACAAACAGCAGTTAAGTTTTTTTCCTAATAACCTCCTTGCACCTTTAACAAACTGAAGATTTACTCATCCTGAACAGTACTGTGTTTCACGATTTGTTTTGAGCTGAACTTTTCCTGTGTCTTCCAGTGGTTTTAAAGGAATGTTTCCATTAAGTTGTGGTGTTTGTTTTTTTTCTCCACAGGTGCAAAAAGTGATAGTAAGGGCAAGTCGGTAAGTATTGTTTTCTCTAATAAAAAAACTGCTATACTGACTCTTTGGGTTACGTTGTTTGGGTAACTTTAGCAGTGCACAAAAAACAATAAACATATCTTTTAAATTTACTTTAGAAGTTTAAAATAATGAGTTATTGGCCAACAAACACAAAACAGCCTGGTAGGTCATTAAATCCCAGCTAAGGATTAGTGTACTCAGCACCCTGAGGGAATGTCTGAAGAGCCTTTGCGGGCTGAGCAGACATCAGTTGGGAGGAGAAGGGTCCCTGGAGCTCAGCCCTTGTGTGGGTGAACTGTCAGCATCTGCTGACTCTCCCTTGGGACCCCTCTACCTTTTTGGTGTTGATGTTCTTCCCCTTGAATCTTTGAACTGTTAATGACACCTGTCTCAGCAACCCTATCTCTGCCTTTGCTTTTCTTATCTCGCAAGGTTTTACTCCGCAGACTTTCCCTGTGGGTTTCTCGCCAGCTCAGTGACTTCTTCAGCAGCCAAAGTCAAAGCTGTGCAGCGGCGTGGTGGCAGACCTGTACCTGGCATCCCTGGCAGGGGAATGATAGAGAGCGTTATCAAACCTCACCTTCAGCGGTGGATCCAGTGTTTTCTGGCCCATAGGGATCACAAAAATGTTTTAGTAAATGTGTGTGCAGGCACAGGTGTAATGCACAAGAGGTTTAAGAGGACAGTTAGGCAAACCAAGAACAGTCTAGGTCATATATTATGAAGGTATAACTGCATATTCTAGCCTTGCTTGTATGATCTTCAGAAATAGAAGAAGGGCTGTTAACCTTGTGAGAGAGCCTGTAGCTGTCTCCTGCATGCCTCTCCATGCTCAGCCCCCAGCTGTGACATGCAAACCCCCACCAGCTGGGGGGCAGCCGGTAAAAACCCACCCGTGGCTGCTGTGCTGGCCTGTGAGTGCAGGGCATCTCTGCAGGGCATGCAACCACTAGCGTTTGTTTTAAGCCACCCAGCCTTGATGGAAGCTTGTTACCTCCCCAGTTCAGCATGTAATGCTGTCTAAACCGTGAACTGTTGGGCGATGTGATGGTGTAGCACCAGGGAGGTTTGTGAGAACCCCAAGAAAGGCAAAATGGTTTTAGTGAGACTTTTAGTTTCTGGGGGGGTTGGGTCCTGTTTCTGGTGGGGATGGACTACCCTGCCTCTTCTTTATCTGTAGGCAGGCCAGACACAAGGAAGGTTATCTCCTGCTTCAGGTGGGGAGATCCTTTCCTCTCCAGCTAGGCTTTATTGGCAGAAACCAGCTGTGGAGTGTGGGTTACTGTTCTAGGTCCTGACCCAACAACTGCTGAAATCAAAACCTTTTGGGTATATTTAATGCGTGCTGAGCCAAGCCTTCACAGTGGGGTTCCCCAGCTGCCTCCTCAAGAGCATGAATGTTTGTGTGGCTTAGCGATGGTGCATGGTCAGGGTTGGGTGGCATTCTTCTGTACGAACACCAGTCCACCCAAACCTGTGCCCAAATTGGGGCTGGTCGTCTAGAGCTCCTGCCATCTTTAGCTGAGGGAAGTAGGCACCTTCAAGTGAATTTTGTGTAATTCTGGGGTATGTGTGGATGGTCTTCCTTTGGAGACACCTCTTTCTGCCCGTGGAGAAGGTGAAACTTGTCACTTGTCTTTAGTTATCTACTTAGGCTTCTAATTTCTGTTGCTCTAAAGCTAGATGAGTCCTACCTGGCTCTCGCCTCAGCTGAAGCCAGATGCCTTAAGTGAAGCTGCTTATCAAATCATACTGATATGTGCATGATATCCTTGGTTCAGCTGATAACCGAGATCAGTGCTGTTTGTGCTGCTTGGATGTCCTCGTGCCTGAATCTGACTAAGTCAGCACTATTCTCTCCACTTGCGTTTTCATTTCTCTTGGAGTCTTAACAAAAAGCATGTTGTAGCACACAACTCTAGTGAAGTGTTGAGTTGTTTGTTAAGTCTCTGTTCAGAGCCTTTGCTGGAGGCATGGGGGCTCTGATTTACTGATGTCAAGCAGAATTTTCTTTTTGCTCAACAGAGTTAACTTTTTTCTGTTTTATATCAAATAGGGGTGGGTTTTATTTCTAAACCCTCACAACATGAAAACAAGCAATGCCATTTTTTTTCTTGTCCATGCTTTTTACAGTTTCCAGAATTAAACCCATAAAAAAAGATAAAAAGGGAGGCTTGGTTCAACTTGCTTTCCTGGTAATATTAATAGAAATTATATCATATATTCATCCACTGAGAAAAGTAGGTGATCAGAAGCTAAACTTCCAGTTCTACCAATCATGCCAGACTTGTACCCAATGTGTGCTTTTTTTCCCCCCCCCTCCTTTGCAATGGCAAGAGCCATGTCACAAGCTGTGTGATGGTGACCGTGGAGATGCCTGTCACAGCAGGTGAAGGCTCAGTAAATCCGGCTGTTAATGCCAGGACATCTTAGGTTAGGAGTGAAGTCAGTTCTATCAGCAAGTTTGAAGGAAAAAAGGATTCTTCATCAAGCAGAATATTTGTAAGGAATTGGGAGCTTTCCTGAGTAATTTGAATGTTTCTGTCCCAACTGGAGGTACTTAAAAATAGCCCCAGGCTTCCACTTTTGGTGTGCTGTGGGGGTTTGGCATGGTGGGAGTTGAGTTGGGTTTTTGCATATATTTGGACAGCAGTCAAAATTGGTCTGTCTGATGCCAAAGATTTTGAATGTGCATAGTCCAACACCTGAATGTCAAATGTAGCCTGGCTAGGGATCCCTTATGAAGGGCAGTTGAGAAGTCTGTAGAACTCTGAGGACTGAGTGGGGTAAGTGAGAATTGACTCCTGGTTCATGTAAACCAGTGTCATTCCACAGAATCTCGTGCAGCCTCTATCACTGAGCACCTACCCACTCCTGCTGGGTCTGTACCGAGCTTGCTCGAGCTGTAGGTTGTAGTGAGTTGTGTTAGTCTGTGTTGCACAGCTCCGTCCAGGCTCACATGGTCTGTCTTTTGCTTCCAGCCAAGCTGCTTTGGCTACCCCTTGAGCATCTTCTTCATCATCATCAATGAGTTCTGCGAGCGGTTCTCCTACTATGGCATGCGAGGTATGTCCCACGTCCCGTGTCTCCCCATGCTGACCATTACTTCCCCAGCCCTGACTCTGGTTTGTAACCCATTGATTTGTTGTTCTTCCTACAGCGGTGCTCGTCTTGTATTTCAAGTACTTCCTGCAATGGGATGACAACTTGGCTACAGCCATCTACCACACATTCGTTGCTCTGTGCTACTTGACACCCATCCTCGGCGCGCTCATTGCGGATTCTTGGTTGGGAAAGTTTAAGTGAGTGCTTCCTCAGAAAACCAAAAATACGAAAACTCAGCCGAGTTCAGTGGTACTGAAACCATCTCCTGGACCAGCACTTGAGAATAGCTTCAGAGCTGGTATTGGCTGCTCCAGGGTTGTCTGTGACTTTCTTCCCCCCACCTCCCCAAAGCTCAGACCTGGAACTACAGTGCAAGTTAACCGATGTTACGGTTCTGCCAATCAGTTAAGGGTAGTAGTTGGCTTTGCAGGCATAGTGCATGTTTTTGTCTCGTTTGGACAAAATGTAAGCTAAATTAAGCCAAGGACTTCACCAAGCTGTGAAAATAAATAGATGCTGGAGATTGTAATTACATTGGATTGAGTCTTTACCCATTGCAAGCAGTCAGTGGAATTGTCAAATCTGTGTTACCTGAGGCATAGGATATATTCTAAAATACTTTGACTTTGGTACTGACTTGACAGCTCAGTGGGAGGTTTTACTGAGTTGCAACTCTTTAAATAATGAATTCTGGGGTTTTTGCCTGTGTGCTAGCTGTTCAGAAAAGGACTGCTGAATGAAGTGCTTTGAAATGTAACCAAATTATTTCTAACAGCCTGATCCCTCTTACCTTTACTGAGGTCGTAATTCTAATAGTGTTTACTTTGCCAGGAAAAGCACAATAAAGATTTTATGGAGGGATATGAATTAGGAATGTTAGCTGACTTGTCAAAGATCTCTGAGTTTAGAGATGAAGCTGGTTGTGCAATTGGTTGGCTGAAGGCTGCACCATCTTCCACTGTGGTGACAGCCTCTGGGAGCCCAGAGCAGCAACCACTGCCAAGTGTCCTCTGCAGAGTCAGCCCAAGCAGTTTAAGTTCATTGCAAGTAGCTTGATACATACAGGCTGCAGCTTGAATGAGTGTGTACTCACACTCAGTTTTAATCTGTTCTGGTTTTTACTTGTTTCATCAAGATGAAGCTTTTCAAGATGGATGCAAGATATCAAAGGGCTGTCAGGCACTGCAACAGGCTGCCCAGGGAAGTGGTAGAGTCACCATCCCGGGAAGTATGTGAGATGAGTTGATATAGTGTGTAGGGACATGGTTTAAGGTAGACTTGGTTGTGTCAGGTTGATGGTTGGACTCAGTGATCTTAAAGGTATTTTCCAACCAAAACAATTCTATGATCCCTTCTGCTCTGGTACTTGTGTATCACAACTGCAAGACCCCAGCCAACAGACCCTTAACAGGAGCTTGGTAGGAAGGCTTAGGTCTTAAAACTGGAATTTTAAGTTTGATAGGAACAAAATATGCTTTTGGGTATAATAACTTGCTGGGTTTGATGTATAAATGCCCTAAAATACAGCAGGGTGCCATGAGAGAGGCTGAAACAATTTATTTAAAAAAAAATAGAATCCAAAATCTATCTTGACAAGAGGAAGAGGAGGTCACCCAAGCCCTGTTAGGCACCCTTATAGGAGAGACTCAAACATGACACAGCCATGTATTCTGTGCAATGTCTGCCATGGAGCATGCTGGGATCTGCTCACGTATTGTTAGGTGTGAAATCCTTGTGGAAAATGATACAGAAATCACAGTTACATGTCTAATTGGGTACCATCTATACAGTGCCCATTATGTAAGTGTTGTCTTCACAGCATGCTCATGAGCCTCACAAGTTAAACCCAGAAGTTTCTCCTGGTCACTTAAACCTAAACTTCAGTTGGAGGCTTTCAAGTCATTAAGCAACTAAAGTAACTATATGGAAGTGCTTTTAAAAAAGTCCTAATTTATCTACTAAATAGCAGGTTCACTGTTGCTCCACTTGGTATAGATTGGGCTGGTGCTTCTGCAGTAGTACGTTCTGAGGAAACCTCATGGCGGAGGAAAGTCAGGCTGAAAGCCTGTGGTCTGTACTTCTCAGTGGTGGTCTCAGCCCCGAGTTTAAAGATGTTGGTACACTTGCAGCTGAGAGACTGGAGTTGAGATAGAGCAGTTATTCACAACAGTGACTCTGAGGGAGTTTACATGTTTAAGGTAGATTTTATATTTTAGCTGCAAGGAGTAATTAAAAATAAAAGTACATAGAGAATGTTTAAACAATAATAAAGTCAGTGTAAGTGGCATACTTCAGGGTTGTAGAGTAATCCATTTGAACTTCACTATATATGAAATATGGTAATGGCACTTATTAATATGGCAACCAATGAAGATATTTAAACATCTCCTGTGACCTGGTGATACCTGCAGAAGCCATTTGTGTCATCTTGCCTTGTTTGTTTAATCAAGGCTACCTAAAATAATAATTAGAAACTCAAACAGAATAACAATAATGTGACAGAGGTACGTGGGCAGACTTCTACAGTAGCTTGTGATAAGCTGAGTCTGTAACATCTTATCTGTTAACTGCATTTCTATATTAAGCATCTTTTGAAATGAGCCAAAGTCTACATGATCTGTGTGTAACTACGCTAATATACATAACTTTTTTATCTCCTCTCTTTGTCACAGGACCATTGTCTCCCTGTCCATTGTCTATACAATTGGGCAGGCAGTCATGTCTGTGAGCTCTGTGAATGATCTGACGGATCACAACCATGATGGCTCTCCTGATAATTTATCGGTGCATATGTGAGTTGCCTTGTAAATGGGTTTTTTCCAGGTTGATGAAGGGTGGGACATCTTGTGCCTTAAACTTATGCTACTTGAATTTCAACTGTCTTGCAATCAATCTTTTATGTACACTGTGAGAAAGCTGAATGATTTATTTTTTCCCCCCTTTTTCTCTTTTCTGCTTTGTCCCAGTGCTCTGTCCATGATTGGCTTGATCCTCATTGCACTTGGTACTGGTGGGATCAAACCTTGTGTGTCAGCATTCGGTGGAGATCAGTTTGAAGATGATCAGGTAACAGCCTTTCACATTTTCAATCATACAGATACTCTAATATTTGGTTATTTTAATATTCTAATAATACACATGTTTAGATATGCACATTAGTGTAGCATTTCCTGAGCAGCTGAAGGAGCCAGATAACTATTTGTCTTGAACTGCGTGAAAAGCTGCTGATTGAATAATTTAAGCTGATTAACGTGGTTCTGATTGAACCTTTCTAAATATCTTTTTCTTTTACTGTAGGAAAAACAAAGAACTAGATTCTTCTCTATCTTCTATTTGTCCATTAATGCTGGAAGTCTCCTATCTACTATAATCACCCCAATTCTCAGAGGTAAGGCCACATATCTGTTTATAACATAGTTAAATATCAGGAAAGGATGAGTATTGGGTTGTACTCCAGTTGGGTTTAAATTAATGGGGGTTTTTTTGTCACCTTTTGGAGTTATCTGGTGAACTGACCTCGTTTTCACGTATGTCATCCCACTTCTCACAGGTAAGGAAGTGTCAGAAAGAGTTTTGAGATCTGAATTGCCTCTTAGAATCAGGAGTACTAGATCTGAGGAGGCATGCTGCAGCCATCAACTTGTATGCCTAAAGCATGTTTTCATACCATGGAGGTACAAACGTGGCACCTCTTTCAAAGCTTTTAAAACCATCACAGGAAAGCTGGGGTTTTTTGGTGGGGGTTTTTTTTTCTGGGAAGGGAAGAAGGGACAGCCCTCTGCTCTGGAAGTGGAGAAAATTCTAAAGCATATCCATGCCAAGCACAGAAGCATCTATGCACATGGAAACACATTTATCCATGTGGCAAAGTAAATCACGTCCTTCAAATCTTTAAAGGAGTAAGTTATTTTCTCTTTTGCTTATAACAAATAGCATGATCCTAAACAGAGAGCAAACAATTCACTGATCCATATGCGTATGGATTTTTGTGGTAAGCTGACACAGATGGTGCTGTATGGGTATGCTTGGCAGGTGTTTGAGGCAGGCTGTTTGTCTCAAAAGAAAGAAAACAGCATGTGAGTTCTGGAATAACCCTAAAGCACTGGGTTGAAGTCCTGGCCTTTGGATTTCTTGACTGGAACAGACTGTGCAGAAGCATTCTGGATGTTTGCTTAAGGCAAATTCTAGCTGTTTCCCAAATGGAAGGAGATGGGCATTAGGCACAACACGCAGTTTACTTCAGTGCTGATACAAGCAGGAAACTATCTTGGAAAGACAGACAAATTCAGCTGAGGAAAGTGATACCAGTATGTCCTGTAATGGCTGCTACAACTAAATCAAGATGTTTAATGAGCTGCAAGTTAATATATTGTTTTCCCCAAATAACTCCCTAATTCTCCTGTTAGAAGTATGGTGAAAAGAAAATTATTACCTTTAGTCTTTTACTTTTCCTCGTTAGTGCCTATGTCGACATTCTGAGCATCACTTCAGGATGTGTGCCTGAAGTCTATAAAATCAAATCATTGACTACTGTGGGGAGGTGTGTGGGGTGGTGGCGTATGAGAAATTTTTCGAAAAGCTACCCTTATGTGACCTAAATCTTCGTTCATGAACCTGTCCCAGAACTTCTGTAATCTAGTTCTTCTCACCAAGAACATGCATTTGACTACTCTAGTAGGATTATTCATTCACTCCTCAGTGTAAAACCAATTGTGTATCTCCTTTGAGGAGAGGCTGAGAGGGCTGTGACTCTTCAGCTGCAGAAGAGAAGGCTCAGGGGATCTCATCAATGTACATAAATACCTGCAGGAAGGGTGCAGAGAGGATGGAGCCAGGCTCTGCTCAGTGGTGACGAGAGGCCATGGGCACAAACTGAAATACAAGAGGGTCCCTCTGAACATCAGGAAACACTTTTTCACACTGAGGGTGACTGAGCACTGGCACAGGTTGTCCAGAGGTTGTGGAGACTCCATCGTTGGAGATACTCAAAAGCCATCTGGACACAGTTCTGGGCAACCAGTTCTGGGTGGCACAGCTTGAGAAGGAGGTTGGACCAGATGACCCCAAGAGGTCCCTTCCAACCTCAGCTGTTCTGTGACTTTTTTTGTGGTACATAATTCTCTCTTACAGTAATAGAAGGTAAGTTGGATTCTGATCCTCTACTCTGTCAGTATCAGTAGAGATTTTTTTTTTTTCTTCCTTGAGTTCACAATGAGTGCAAAGAACAGAAGCTCTCTGTAAAAATACTGGCAGTGCTCGCTGGGACTCTTATCTAATGTTACTCTGTACTTCAGCTCAGGAGTGTGGCATTCACAGCAAACAGCGGTGCTACCCACTAGCTTTTGGAGTTCCTGCTGCCCTCATGGCTATCTCCTTGGGTAAGTGGGATTGTTTCCATCTTGCTGCTTCAGTCATAGGCATGGCTAGATGATGATCTCATTCTGAGAAAGTGGTAGAAATCTACAGGTGTCAACCTCTAACAATACCTGATTGTTTCTGTAAATTTTGATTTAAACTTTTTATTGGGGGTGGGGTGGTGGGATTAGCCTGAAGCACTCTCATTTACACAAGAGACTGATTTACCAGAAAAGACTGAGGAGGCTGGGGAGAGGCACAAAAATATACCATTAAATTCTGTACATTATGCAATTTACTGTTTATATTTCTTGAACTTCAAGGGTGAATACAAAAGATCTTTTGAATGTAATGTGAGAACTCTGAGGAAAATGGGGTTTTCTGGAAACCATTTTGGTGCAGGATAGAGTGAATGGTGTACGGCAACTGTCCCTGTGAAGGAGAAATGCCATGCTGCTAGGTCAGCATTTCTTGAACACCTGCATTACCGGTCACTCCCTAAACCTTTCTGCTGCAGCACAAAGGCCAAGGAACTTGCGCTGGAGAGGGGGGAACAGGGAGGGGCGCTTTTCCTAACACCACAGTGTACTACCATATCCCTTCTGATCCTGGTCCTTCATGGTCCTGACCAGGAGCCCACCCAATGTGGGCTTCCAGCTACTGGTGACCCATCTTGCCTGTGCACCCAGCCTGGGGTGGATGGCGGCTGTGGGGGTTTTCCCATGTCCTGCCCCACACATGGGAGGGTGAGGCCAGGGAATGTGCCTGAGCATGGGAGCTGGGGACACCTTGAGTCCTCTGTGACAGAGCCTCATGTGCACCTGCGTGATGCGCGTTGCAGTGCCCTGGACTCCTGCGAAGGAGCCTGTAAAGCTTAGTCTGGCACAGCAAGGCCAGAACCAAGATCTGAATCCTCGTTTTGACCATACCTCACTTAAGCTAACATCTTGCTGAGGGCTTTCCATGAGAGTTTCCAGATTTAGTCCTTTGTCTTAAATAGAAGCAATCTCTGTATTTATTTGATTTTTAACTGTATGATAACATGCCAGTAGGCATGTTTATTGCTCCTTAGGAGGCTTAATCCCACCCTGTTGTATCTCTTTGAGTGTTATAGTTTCCATACTAAACTATTTGCTGCTATTTTCAGTTAATCATGAGTTGCTTTTGGTATCTTTTTGTGTTGTAGTTGTGTTCATAATTGGAAGTGGAATGTACAAGAAAGTTCAACCTCAAGGCAACATCATGATTCAAGTTTTCAAATGCATTGGAGTAAGTAATATTCGTGTTCCCAAAAACCCTAGCCACAATTTTAAAAAACTGTTCAATAAAGTTACTTTGATCAGAAATCTGTCAAAATATGAGGATGACAACAAGATTTTTAACTTTTTTCCTTACAGAAGGCTTCTTACTGACACCTCCAGATTTAGACTGCCTTTTTATTTCTCTGTATCTTGGTTTATATCTTTCTTTATACAGAAAGGAAACCAAGTAAGATGTCAGTGATGTGTAAAAGCTTATCCCAACTTCTGGGAATCATTCCTTTCTGCTTTGTGCACTTTTATGCAGCCCTGTAGTAAGAGACAAACATACCTTGACCTGAGTCAAGAGCAGAGCTACTAGTATCTCTTATCAGCAAAAATTTATTGCTCATTAAAAGAACATTGTAAAAGAACAAAGAGGTGTATTGATCCCTACTGTATTAGGGAGATTGGGGTGTTACATGCCAGCACAAGGAAGGGAGCCAAACCTGCATGAATAGCACTGCATGTCCAAAACTTTGCAGTACTTCAACTTTGGGATCAGGGGATTTTTTTTTTTTAAACTTAGAGGCTTTTTCATTCCCCATGCAGATCTTCCAGCTTGTTTATAGCAATGTCAAAACACTAGAACCATTTAGGTTGGAAAATACTTTAAGATTATTGGGTCCGACTATCAACCTGGCACTGCCAAATCTGCTGCTAAACCATGTCCCTAAACACTTCATCAACTTGTTTCTTAAATACCTCCAGGGATGGTGGCTCCACCACCTGGAGGAGGTGGAGGGGCAGCCTGTTCCAGTGCTTGGCAGTCACCTCTATAGGTGATTTTGGTCATCACATAGGGCGCTGCCCCTGATGCCCAGCTCAGCCTTGCGTATTATTCCGTGCAGAAAGTCTTAGGAGTTTTTTGGGGACTGTATTTGTGTATATTCAGTGTCAAGGTATAAGGAATATCTACAGTATCTACATCATCTCATGGTGAAATGTACTCACAGCCATTCAGCTCTGAAAATCTGTGCGTATGACATGCTTCTATTTGTTGTATGTGTCAGTCTGAAGTAGGCTGGTTTTCAAGTCCTTAACAGCAACCCACGCTGAGAGAGACCACTCTGAGACGTTTGGTTCACCTAAGCCTGGGTGCACACTCCACTGGATATGCAGTGTGAGGCCTTAAATGCAATATTCCTTTAGATACCTAAAGCAGGTAACAGAAATAAGACACCTTTAGCACCCTCTAAAGCAGGAGTGTCATCTGTAATGACGAAACAGCTTCTAGCATTACAAATATTTGTAATGCCATTAAATAAAATTCTGTTTCTCCTCAGTTTGCCATCAAAAACCGGTTCCGGCATCGCAGCAAGGAGTTCCCCAAGAGAGAACACTGGCTAGACTGGGCGAGTGAGAAGTATGACGTGAGTACTGCATAAGCACACCTGTGCCACAACATCCCCTGACCCTTGGATTCTCTTCTGTCTGCTCTGATCCACTACCTCGAGTGCTGGGCAAATAGTTTTGGGCCTCTCAATCATTTAGAAGCTAATGGTCTGACCAGACCTCGGTGCTCCCCTGGAACGGCAGGTTGTCACCCCAACAACTCCTGTAGGTGAAACCAGAGCTCTGTGAGTGGATGCTCCTTGTGATCATGGGCTGCCCCTGGAATTTTGAAGAAAAGACTATTTCCCTTCTTGAACAAATACAAGCACCTATTAGTTTGAGTTAGTAAAATAGCAAGCGTTATCCTTGTCAACTCTTGTTTCTTTCAGTATAGTGGCTTAAATTATGCTGGTTTAATGACTGCAGAAGGGAAAAATAGGCATGGTGTTGACTGTTGTGGCTAATGTGTAGGGCCATAACACTTGTCTCTGGATCAAACTGTAGAATTATGCTTAGGAATTCCAGCTTAAGTGGATAAATACTGCACCTCCCTAGCCTCAGTACAAGCTCCTTACTATGACTGTGTCCCACAGTCCCAAACTATGTCCCTTGCCTCCTATCCACCCTACCCCATTGTCAAAGGCAGCACAAACCTTAGCCCATCCCCTTTATTTTCTTTTTGCCTGCCTGCATTTTTCATGTGTGAAATGCATTCCTCAGTCACCCATCGCTCAATGCCTCCTTCCTAGAAAAACAATGCAGCATTTAGGGTTGAATCTCATGCCAAGAGGCACAAAGCTCTTTGATAAGAGTGTCACCTTTAATCCACAGCCTTTCCCACACCTGCAGAAATCAGCACAAATACCCACAATGTACAAAGTTTAGGATGTGGGTAAACATCACGTGATGTGTCTTTACCTGTTGCTGTGCTGCAAATAGCCATCCGCAACTGTCTTTTTTTTTTTTGACTAATTCCTCTTGTCTAATTCTCACTTGCTGCAGAAACGACTGATTGCTCAGACTAAGATGGTACTGAAGGTGCTTTTCCTTTACATCCCTCTTCCCATGTTCTGGGCACTTTTTGACCAGCAGGTAAAGTAGGAATTACTTGGCTTTGCATTCATAGCTGTACTGTGTCACTCTACGTACTCTGAGGTCACCAGCCACGGAAGTTGCCTACGGGAGGGTGAAAAAACAGTTCTTTGCAAATTCTTTAACCTGGTTCTAATGTGAGTTACTGAGTCATGTTAGTACGGAATGTTCTGCAGCCAGGGGAACTCAGTTTATCTGGATGTGTCTGGAACTGATTCAGAGACTGAGGCCTCTCCACATCTTGCATCATCCAGGACTTGAAGGATGAAACTGTAGTTTCAAGCTTTCTAAGTTCTAGCTTTTCTGTCACTCAGTTGTGAGATGCGATGTGAAGTTCTAGTGTAAATGCTCTGGAGAGTTGCGGTTGAAATGAGTTTGTTGCCAGTTGGCCTAATCACTCCAAATACTTACAAATACGTCACACCTTCAAGCAGAAGCATAAGGCTATGGTTCTCCTTCACGGGGTGGACCAAGTGCTCAGAACTCACGAAAGCAGGCTTTCATCGTTAAGTGTTGGAGTATGAATTTAGGGAGGGTGTCTGAGAGAATCAAGGGCTGGAAGCTTTATCTAAGGCAGAGTGTAGGAAGTTTAGTCCAGATTGCCTGGATTGTGCTGCTTTAGTGCCAGTGAGCTGCAACTGTCTGACTGGTTCCAAATGAGCAACACTGCTGTGAAATTCAGCACTAAATGCTCATTACATGAATAATAGCTATCACATTTCACAGTGGTGTGTCACGGGTGGTTAAAGGCTCTTGCCACAGATGCAGCGATGCACCCTGGGCTCAGGCTGGGAGTCAGCCCTGCTTGACCTGGCTATAGGCAGGTTTTTTGGGCAGAGGGCTCAAGGCAGATCCAGCCCTGGCTTGGAGGCTCCCTGCTGGGCTGTGTGAAGGAAGGACGAATGGATGTGCCAGTGGTGTGGGGTGCTTGGACTCGAAGGCAACACAAAGGGGCTCTGGTGTCCTCCGTGCATAGCACACAGCAGTGCTCTAAGCACAGTGTCTGTGCTATCTCTACAGCTAATCTCTGAATCTAAATATTTAAAGTTTTGTGAAATAGAGTGGGAAATAAAAGTGAAATGGGCCATGGGGATCACTGTTCAAATGTTGACGTTGCAGAGTAAGAATACTCCTGTGGCAAGCTAGCTTTATTTTTTATTACATTGCACGTCTTTCCCAACAATTACATATGAAAACATTTCACATATGAAAACATTTCAAGAGGAACTTTGGAAGACTGATTTAATGTGCCATTTAACTTTCTTTTCTTCTGTTAAGGGGTCAAGATGGACACTGCAAGCCACAACAATGGATGGGAATTTTGTAGGTTACTTATTCTTGCCTTTTTTTTTCTTAATTAACGCTCACTTTTTAGATCAGTTTTTATTTGATGGCATGGTGTTAAAACCTCTTTTATCTTTTCTTCACCAGGGAGCTATTCAGATTCAGCCAGACCAAATGCAGGTACAGTAATCTTCTGTCTGCCAATTCTAAGTACTTCCCAAATATATATTGATATTTACCCTTCATTTTTTAAAAAGACTTTGAAAAATACTTAGTTTTTTTCCTTCTTGTGTTCATCTTCAACAGACTGTCAATCCAATCCTGATTATTGTAATGGTCCCAGTTGTAGATGCTGTGATTTATCCTTTAATCAAGAAATGCAAGATCAATTTTACGTAAGTTGATGTACCTGACTTCCAAAGAGGCTCAATTTAGCAGTGTCTTTAAACTGCTCTTCCAGCCCTAAAGGAACAAGAGCAAGCACTCAGCTAAGGACCAAATACTAGTGTATTTAAAATGGGGTTAACATTTTAAACAAATTAAAATTAAAGATATATGTGTGTGTGTATATATATGACTCTGAAAGTACTATACAAGCACTACAGACTAGAGGAAGAGAATCTAATAGTAAAGTAACATTATATTCCAGTTAAGGGCAGAATCTTTTGACTGCAGGAGAGATTATGTTTAGTGTTTTCCATCTTCCTGGTGTCTACCCCATCTCCCTCACGAAGTATAAGTAGTAGAAATAAAACATCCATCCTTAGCATGTGTCACATTTTGGGCTCAAAACTACCTGAAGATGCTTCCTCTTCAGTCCCAGTGAGGAGTCTGGCTCACTGCATGCTTCTAGGTGTAGTTTCAGAGGGCATTGCACACTATTTCTTGTGTTGATAATGAAGTGGTGAGCACTTGCAAGTTGGAGGGGCAGAAGAGAATATTGTCCTTAAGTCAATCCTTACAGAGTTAAGGTGCAATGCTGGTTTTTTTCATCTAGTTATGAAAAATGATCGAGGGGGTGGAGAGCAGGTGGAGTGTGCTGTGCTGGAAAGAGTCATTGATTTGTGGACACTACATGTGACAAATGATACCATAAATAAAATATCTATCTACCTTAAATTTGCCTTATGGAATACCTGAATGTCAGTAGCTATCTCCCAATTCAACATATTTCCTTGACTTTCTGTTCAACGTTATTTTGATTTAAACATGGCAATATAGACACAAGTAGTTATCCTTTAAAAGGCATAACTTCTTTTTGTTAATTTAAAGCTAACAACCATAGTAGATTGGGTGTTTTTTGTCCTGCAAATCAGACTTTTCCAGAAACCTAATAATTATGTTCAATGTTTGAACCCACTAGATGCAGAGTAACAGGTTACTAAGGTGCTGTGGGCAAGATATATTTCCTGATGGTGTAACTGTGAGGAATCAAGCTTAGCAGAACACTCTCTGTAACATCAGGCCTTTTGGATGGTGTTAATGTGCTAGTTGTGGCTGTTTGATTTTCCCACTGTGGAAAGAAAACTAACAGCTGAAGCATCATTAATATTTGTCTTAACTCACATATGTGTTTTGTCGCTGTACTAGGCCCCTGAGGAAGATCACTGTCGGTATGTTCCTCGCATCTTTGGCTTTTATTGCTGCTGCCCTTGTGCAAGTGCAAATAGACGTAAGTTCAGCCACATGCAGGTTATCTACTGTTAATATTTACTTCTTGATGCAGAACAAAATGCGCTTGAAGGGAAAATAAGCCAAGACTCCCAAGTTCAGAACCAAGCATATGAGCACAGAAGTAGAGGGAGGGAACATATTCAGTGTATATTGCAATGATGTGATTAGCATAAGAAATTTAACTAGTTTTGAACACCGTCCTGCAAAACATCTGCCATTAATATAAAGCACACATTAAAAGCAATCCCAGGTCTTTAAGCTGAGACAAAAAAAAAAGAAAACCAGAGGCTTGTTTGGCTTACCAGAAGGCTGCTTTGTACTTCTCTTATTTGGACAGGAGATAAAGTGTGACTGTCTGGGAAGCAGCATCACAGCATGAGCAAAGATGATAACTGTTCAAGGCAGGAACATCACACCTAACTTTCCTTTCCCCAAAGGGAGGTGTCATGCCTGAACTAGATGTACATTTCCCCTGTAGCCTGGGAGTTGCCAGCACCTCTGGGAGGTAATCCATTGCATCCTAAGATCTGCATTGCCATCCAGAGGTGCCTGCCTGTCTTTGCGCACTATCAAGGTGAGATTCTCAGCTCTCAAATAGCTTTAGAACTGAGAAAGTCTGTCCTTGATGCCTGAGTCCAGCAGCAAAACAAGCTCTGTGTTCAACCCTGCCTCTGGAAGTTGAAAGTGAAGGGTCTCTCCTTCAGCTGGTACAGACCCATCCAGGCTGTCTCCCTGAATGCCCTGCTCAGAAGGCCAGAACTGTGCACACACACACCCCTAATGGCATTGGGCAGAAGCTTCCTCAAAGCTGGTAACTTCCCAGACCATTGTACGAGAATCTCCTACAGAATGGTAAAGGTGGACCTATTTTTGTTGTGTGATGTACCTAAAAAGATTGAAGCTGACAAAAGTATGGGAAGAGAGGTAAGGTTGAGGCAGAATGGCAAAAAGGTATAATTCGTGCGCCTCTGCAAGAGCAGAAGCTGTTTACTGTTGGGTCCAGTGGAAAGTGGAGTTTCCAGAAGTTCTATTTCTCTGGGCTATCCCACCAGGCAGCACCCACACGTCAGTCCACCCAGTTCAGCAGCACCAGCGCTTGGGGAAAATGAGTCAAACGTAGTACAAAGGAACTTGGGAACCCAGACTGCCATAGGATGTGGGAAAACATTCCCTGAACTGTAGAGTGACCTTAGAAGTGAAGGTATGCTGCAGGATGTAATCGAAGGGGAACCGCATCTGGCCCTGGTAGAATTGTAGTGGATGAGAGGCTTCTTGCCTCAGGGGAAGGTGGGCAGCTTGTGAGACTAGTAAAAGTCCATGATCAAAGCTACACCCCTCTGACAATCACAGATCATGGGGCAAAGGCTAATTTTTATTGTGAGGTAGTTAAGATCACAGTAATTATAGTACTTTTCCCATGTGACCTAGGATAGGGCACTGATTTTACTCTTTTCTGTCCTACAGAAAACTCTTCCAGTTTTTCCTGCAGCTGGGCAATCCCAAATCAAAGTAACAAATCTAGGTACCAATGGTGCGACTGTTTGGTTTGAACCTCAACATCAGAGCGTGAATGTAACGTCTAGAGAGTCGGTAAGTAAGGGGAGATGAGGAATAGCAGGTTCAAATAAATCTAATGGAGTAAGTCAAAATGATTCTTAACTAATGGTTCAAAACCAATTCTTTTATAGTCTTTTTTCTCTGTTCATGTTAAAGATTTTTCCTGTTGTGTTGTGGGATGAATTGTTACTGAAAACACAGCGAGTGAATAAATGGTAACTCTTTCAATATTCCAAGTAGTATTAGTTTGTGTTGGTGAGAGGTTTTTTTTGTTTTTCAAGAAACTTTAAGAAAACTAACAGTGATTTTTGAACTAATTGAAAAGAGGTGCCATTTCCTAACCACAAGAACACCCCCTTCTTCACTAAAAGTCCATTCACCTCTAGTAAATTACTGCTCTTACTGTGAGTGATCACTTAATTGAACAGGGAGCTTTTTCTGTGGCTACATCACACATATTAAGCTTCAAATTTTGCTGTCAAAGAACCTTTTTGGGTTCTATTACAGCACAACCTTGATAGCTGTATTGACAGAAAAAATGTAGTGGAGCTGGTTGACATTTTCAATAATGGATGTTAGGAAGTGTGTTCTCTGGCCTTCAGTCCTCTTTCCATATAAGAGTAGAAACCCTATTCCATCCTCCTCCAACTTCTGCCTTACATGAAAACCGAGCTGTGAGGAGAAGACAAGGGCACTAAAACTGTATGCTCATACGGAATTGATAGAACCATGACACCTGAAAATGAAGGGTGCAAAATGCTCCACTCTCTACTATAGAGACATCTTGCCTAAAACATCTGGATGATAAAATGCTTTTTATAATTGTATAAAACAAAAGGGTTATTAGTATTACATTAATATATTGGAATATTTAAAACATTAATAAACATATTTCATCAGCATAAAATATTTAAAACCTGTCCTGGTAATAGTCAACCCTATTATGCTGAAATCATAAAGATGCAGTTTGCGTTTACATCTCTTAGAAGGTGGTGTGTTTTGGAAAATGCTGCATCTTATGGTAGTGCTGTCTCTGTAGCTAAATAGAATTTTACTTGGCAGTGGTAAGCCTGATCTATCTGGAGCAAGAAATACACAGGAAAATACAAATCTATTCCATAATGCTTGTGGGAAACTCATGTGACTTCGAAGTTTGTGTCATGAAAGAAATAATGATCAAATGAAAGAAGTACTTGATGTAGAAAACCTAACAAAAATGGTAGCTGGGAGATGCTCACCATCTCTGGCACTTCAGAAGTAACAACCCTATGAGCTACTGACCCCCTGAGTCCATAACAATCCCTCAAAGGTGTAGACAAATAGGAAGTTGCGTGAAAACTCATAGCAATTAATTTGTTTTTGTAGACAAACTACTTGACATTTGAGACTTCTAAGTTGAAATCATTAAATGTAATCTTTGGAGATAAAACTGCAACTCAAGTGATCAACTTGCCAGGGGGGAGCCGTCACACTCTTGAAGTTAAAAATACTGCGACACACGTTGTTGCTCAATTGGTAAGTTTGCTTAATTCCCAAGATTGATGTTAATGTCTTAGTGGATATCCACGCAGAGTGCATGAAGCTGAGAGGACAAGCTCTGGATAGCTTTTCCTTTGTCTTGCTTTCTGTCTCTCCCCCTCCCTGCTACACCAGTGGGACTGATGACATATTGAGAGCAGGGCAGGAGGTTTTGGGTTTTTTTTAAAAAAAAAAAAAGGGGGGAGGGGGGCAAAAGATGATCAACTTTTATTATTTAAATTGGCAATTACCCTTTCACCAAGACTCCAGTGTGTGGGCATACAACACTTTCTAGTAGACGTGTATCCTAGTAGGACCCTAAATAGAAAGGTCTGGAGCGTTATTCTGAGGTGTCTGTTAATTCTCACTGCTGTGTAATAGTGTACACTTTAAGCTGTTCACTGATGCCAATGAAGTATCTTGATAATGGTCTCTTCCACCAGCTGTTTGACAATGTCACATCGAAGCCAGAAGAAGGAAATAATCTCATCAGGTAGAGTTTGTTTTGCTCCTAAATTTTGGCAGTAGTGTGACTTCAGTCTGCCTCATGAGTGGACACTTGCTTAACATAGCTTTCTGTATGGTGGGAAATCTCTGCTGGACACCTCACATGTTTAGGGGTTCTAGGAACTTCTGGGATGTGATTAATCTAAGTTATCCTGATAACTGCTTTGGGTGTAATTTAGCTAAAATTGGAAGTGCTGTCTGGACTTCTTTGGTAGACATCAGCACGGATTGCATGTCTATACCTCCTTTTTAATCTTGGGTAAGAAGTATCCTAGCACCTCTCTGGTTTTCTTCTGCGTCTTCTCATTTGCAGTAGTATTTGTAACTGGCTGTAATTAAGACTTGCTTATGACGTTCTCCGAAGCAGGCCATGGACTCGTGGGATCTAGCTTGCTTTTTGCATTAGCCACACTTTAAGAATTTTAGAGTTCTTTCAAAATGTTAACAAACAAAAAATGAAAGGGGAAGCCTTGATGCTAGTTGTGCTGCCAGTATGTAATTAAAAGTAAAACCTGTGTTCTTTGATT